AGCGGTGGGTAGTATAATAGCACTCATCCTCTCTGTGGTCGCAGCAGTAGCCGCTACTGCTACAGCAGCTGTTTCTATGACCTCCACCGTATTGACTGCCAATGCTCTTAATAATTTGACAGCTCATACAGCTACTGCTCTAACCTACCAACAGGAAGTCAACACTCAATTGAAGGCTGGACTTATGATGGTGAATCAAAGAGTGGATTTATTACAGGATCAAGTAGATACACTTGGACAAATGTTAATGATCAGCTGTCAAGTCAATCTACAAGGACTATGTATTACCAATTTACCATTTCAAAATTTGTCCAGAGCCGCGGATTTAGCCCGTAATCTCAGTTCTGCATTAAAGGGAGAATGGACTATGACTTTTGAAAGAACACTGGAAGATCTTCGACTTGCTGTTCTTAATGTAAATGCTTCTCGTGTTTCATTGCCAGTGGCAGAGTTTTTGAGTATATGGTTGTTGTCTGTTGTCTCATTCGTTAAAGAATGGGCTGGGTTGAGAGCCCTGGGATTAATTGCTTTAGGGGGATGTGCAGGATTAATTTTAGTATTTTGTTGTTTTAATAGAAGATATAAAAGGAGGGAGATTTTAATTAATCAGGCTATGATGGCTTTGTATAATCAAGAATCTAATAATGTATGGTTAACTATGTTAAAAGAAAAATTGTGATTTTAGATATGTTATAATAAGAATAGTTATTAAGATAGTAATATGTTTGTATTAGTTAGATAAGAAAATAAGAGATAAGAAAATTGTATAATGGTTATAAGGATTAAGGATTGCCATGGTGAAGATGCCTAATCTTATGGACTCAATAAGTTGCGCATCATCTGAAGGAATAGATGGAAATTGGAGTGTGGGCTAATCTCCTAATTGAGTACCCTATCTATTTGGTGTCTGTCTCCACCGAATGGCCCGCATTAGACATCGAGATCTTGCTGTCATGACCCAAGCAATCCAAGCTTGTAAGACGAGTGCATCCCTCCAAATGTAGTTGGCAAATTTGAAGTGATAGGAAAATCAGCCTTCTCCCCTTATAAGGCATGCTAGGGAGGCAGCCAAAGACGGGTAAGCTCTTTGATCATCCATGTGCAACCTAAGACAGGGGATTCACGCGTAGAGGTGGATCTTCCGATGACGAGTAAGCCATGTGATGGATCAGGACAACCTAAGACAGGCGCTCTCTCTGCCATTTTAATAAAACTAAAAGGGGGAATTGTGGAGGGCCATGAACGCGCGCATGGTCCTCCATTACAAAATGGCGCTGATTTTCTGCTTCTCTTTGTTTGCCTTAAACACAAACAAGACCTTATTTGGGCACTGTGTTCTCATTGGTTGATGGCTTGATCTCATGTGAGGTTAATGGTCCAATGGAGGCATGACACATGAGACTGATGGGCGGTGATGGGCGGAGTACCAAGAAGGGGATAAAAGCCGCACCAGGGGAAGGGAAGAGAGACTCCATCTTCCACCACCCTCTGTAACTAACTCCTGAGTAAACCGCTGTGAGAAGGAACCGCTGGTGTGTTGTGTCCTTATTCCTGCTGGACAGGCAAGGCGCGCAACATTACCTTACTTTATCTTACCTTTAGTAAGACTTTAGCTATGGCAAGGAAGATTTAAAAATAAAAATTAATACTGCAACCTGAAAAAAATTTAAAAAATATCGAAAGAAAGAAAAAAAAAAGATGTGTTTCAGGGCTGTGTCATTTCACCATACTTACTCAATTTGTATGTTGAGCCAATCATTCCAGAACCTGTACTTTATGAAGAATGTGGCATCAGGATTGGGATTGGAGGGACTCATCAATAACTTGTGTTAATGTGGATGACACAGTCTTCGCCACTGAAAGGGGGGGTAGGAAATTGTGCAACAGTGAAGGATTTTTTTTTTTTTTATTAGAAGAGAAAAGCGAACTGGGGTGGACAGGTAGGGAGGAAAATGTGCAACAACGAATGAATGGAAATTCAAGTTCTCTGTCAACTTTCATTAACATCGCATTAAAAAAAATTTTAAAAAAGCAAGCCCTGGTGGCTTAGTGGCAAGAAGCTGCGCTGCAATTCCAGAGGTACCCGGTTCAGATCCAGCAGAGGAGGAAGAGGGGCAATCTCCTCCTGTAACACACACACACACACAGACTTGAAAGGTTTGCTGCATATAAATTTACAGCCTTAGCATATATTCACAAGTTGGAATCCACCAACTGTTCAGGAGGAGAAAGATGGTTAGTCCACTCTAGTTACCATTAATAGGAACACCTATGGAAGGTCGCTGTCAGCTGGAACCGACTGGAGGGTAGGGGTCTGAGTGCGGAGGAAAGGTACGAGAGCAAACCCAGCTTGGCGACGCGGACACAGCACGGAACTACGTTTCCCAGAGGCCCTCGGGGCAGCGGCTTCCGGCAAGCCCGCACATCACCTGGCAACCGTGTCCCGCCTCCCTCCCTCTCCGAGATGGATGCTGGGCTCTGCCGCCCCCGGGAAACGGCGCTGTGAGGCGGCAGACGGAGTATGCGCTCTACTCCGTGGACCAGGCGGCACTAGTCGGCTCATGTCGCCGTCCCGAGGTGAGGACCGGCGACCGCCTGGGAGTCCTGGTTCCCTGGACAACTACGGCGCGATTTCGCGGGGCTCGGGTTCAGGCCGGGAAGTGGAGTGAGGCCGCTGCCCCGAATGCTTGCAGATGGGCCAATCAGAACCTGCGGCGGCCGCGCAGCCATCTGGGACATGTAGTTCTGCGGGGGAATGCCGGTCCTTCTGGTTCTTCTTGTGTTTGTCCAGTTCTTTCTGGGGGGAAGGGTTTCACTGCCTGGGACACCTCCAGTTTAGGGAGCGACGAGGTCCCGCTCTTTTCTGGCCTTTCGGTGGAGGTGGGTGCCTTTCCATTGCAGAGCGCGTGCGCGCACTTTCCACCGTCCTGTGGGCCTCTGGGAAATGTAGTCTGGAGGCACGGGGTGTACCTTGCGCTGGGACGTTGTGTGGCTACCTTCCAGGACGGCGGGCTTGGGGTTACCTCCCAAGAGGGGACCCTGCGCTGGAGGCGTGAGTCAGAGGGAGCGTGAACGAGTGACCCGCACGGGCGAGCCGGGGAAGGAGCGGGTGGGAGGAGCACGGATGGGCGTGCCCGCGCTCCCGGCAGGTAGCTTCCCGCGACCACCTGCCTGTCCTGCTTCCCTGGGGTCAAGGGCCCTTGTGGGCTGTGCTCTGCCCACCCGTGTCTCAGGCCGGGTTATTCCAAGGTCCCTGAGGGTTCTTCCAGGTGCTGGAACCATCAGCCACACAGGCGTAGCGTGGTTTTGCTCTAAACCACCACGATGAAGCGAGACGCAATATGAGGCTCGTGCATTTTCTGTTTTCTCAGTGCCAATAAAAGTTAGATTTGTTCTGCAGTGTAGTCTGTTAGAGGTGCCTTGGTGGTGTAGTACACTACAGACAGAAGTTGGTAGCGCAGTGGGAGAGAGATGAGCAGTAGTCTCCCATGAAGATTATGTGTTGTTGGTAGGTGCTGTCGAGTTGAGTACGACTGCCTGCAACCTGGTGATCAACAGATCGGAACCCTGCCCTGTCGCCTCGTGATCTACGCTTTGCTCCAGCCCACTGTGATGGTCATTGTGTCATTCTGTCTCATTGAGGGCCTTCCTCTTCTTTGCTGACCCCTCTACCTTTCCCTTATGATCCCCTTTTCCAAAGACTGACCTCTCTTGACAATATACCAAAGTATGTGAGACAAAAGTTTTACTATCCTTTTCTCCAAAGATTTGCAGACTTGAAACACCAATAGATAATTGCCATGTTGTTACATGCCATCTCACGGCTGAGAAACTGCACTTGCCTGTTAGGACCACCTATATGTGTTACTTCTGCTATAGTAGCCCTGAAAAACTAACCCATGTGACTTACAATGATTTATTAATTGCTAATACCTTTTTCAAAAAAACAAAGAATGGTTTAATTAATTTTATAAAACATATAAACATATACACATGGGTCTCATCCGATGAACTATACAGCAATCAGATTGATAACATCTGTGTAAATCAGCATTGGTGATGGTAGTGCCAAATCTTTTAAAATTTCTTAACAGATTACTACCAATTTAGGGCATAAAACAATACAGAATTTTTTTTTTTTTTACAATTCTGGAGATCGTAAGTCCAATTTAGGCATCTCAAGGCTAAAACCAAGATGTCGGCATGGCTAGTTCCTCTCTTTTGCGTTTTCCAACTTTAGAGGCCACTGGCATTCTTCACCTTGTATGAAAGTGGTACAGCCGGCGCTAACGCCACACTGCCAGAAGTTCAGGCGGATCCAGAAGAGGCCAGGGATGTCACTGCTGTCACGTTGATCCTGGCTGAAATCAGAGAACATCAGAAAGCTGTTTACTTGTGTTTTAGTGGTGGGTCATAACAAATGATGGCTGTCCTTGAGAAGAGTGGAGTTTACAGAACACTTACTTGTGCTTATGCAAAACTTCTCGATAGATCAGGAGGCAGTTGTCCAAACAGAAGAAAGGAACACTTCATAGTTTAAAATCAAGAAAGGTGTGCAAATCAATTGTATCCTTTCTCCACACCTATTCATTCTTATATGGTGAGCAAATCATTTCTGAAGCTGGACTATATGGAGATGAATGTGACCTTAGGATTGGAGGAAGACTTGTCAACAACCAACATTATTCAGATAACATAATCTTGCTTGCAGAAAGTGAAGAAGACTTGAAATACTTGCTGTAGAAGGTCAGAGATAACAGCCACCAGTAGGAGTTAGACTTGCCGTGGAGTGTCTGTGTTCAGAATCGCTTGCCTTGGCCATTGCCCTTGACCTTTTCACATGGCTAGGCAGGAACATACAAATAGCATGTGCTAACCTCCAGTGAGTGGACTGGTTAGTTTCACCATTCCACCAGGTTTAAATTGAGCAGGTTCAGTGGCAGAAATATGGGGGTATCTTGGGATCAGCAACGAAGAAGCAGAGAATGCAGTGTGTGTCTTTTGGGTATAAAGATTTCTGTGCCATTCAGGTCAAAACCTATGGGATTCTACCCTGGGAGGCAGACACTGGGAGACAGGATGTTGGCTCTCCAGGGACACTGGTACCAACTAGCCGGGTTCAAGGCTGCTTGCTGTGCAAGTTAAACCGGCTGAAGTGAGATGCTCCAAGGGGCTAGAAGGTGTTTGGCCCATTGCTCAGCACCAGCTTATCAGCCTGGAGACAAGGCCAAGCACAGCATTCCAAGGTCAAGAACACCATCCATGCTTTGATTTGTCAGCAGCAGGTGAGCTCTTGGTCTGGGCCAGTTCACTCTCCCCTTGGTTCTCTTTTGTCCCCCATGGCTGTTCTTGATGTCTCTGCCGAGTAATTCAGATCCTGAATTTTAGACTCATCGATTCCTGAATGCCTGTAATAGCTTCATAATGAACATATTCTAAACCACACTCATTCAGCTGTTCTGCCTGCCCTCTACCCCACTGCCCCAGTAGGATCACAGGCCTGATCCTACCACATCCCACCCAATGTCCTCACAGCTGTCCTGCCCGCACCCACACTCCTCCTCCCTGGTACAGCCTCATCTTCCTGCACAGAGACTGGCTAAGAGGCAGAATGAGGGTGACAAGTGACCCCTCTCAGCCCAGGTGTATCTGTCAAAGGGTTGACAATAGAACCTGCCTCAGTGGCTTGTTGTTAGAAATTGACTTAATACTTTCCAAGTGCATACAGCCAAATGATGTCCTGTGTTTGCTAAAACCAATAAATGTTTCCAGTCTTGGTAAAAACAAAACAAAACACCCCAAAACAACAATAAGAGAGAAGCAGCAGCTGCAGCAGAGAACTCATGACCTGATGTCATCTAGGACTGACCTCAGGAATGCTGTTTCACGGAATCAGCTGTGAGTCTTTGCCCAAGCTTGCTGGAGGACTCGGGAAGATGCTGTGATTGGTAGAACTGAGACACCTTTGTAACACTGGCCTGAAGCTCCATAGCTGAATGCCCATGTGAGAAGCTGTCCTGACAGAAGTTTGACCCTGTTGTCACTCTGAGTTGTAACCTATAAATTTCCCTAATAAACCCCATAATCGTAAGTACGGTTCTGCGAGGTCTGTATAGCTAGTGCAGTGGGTTTTGGATCTGGTAGAGCGGTAGGATTGGTGTTGGAGTTAGTAGAAATAGACACGAGGGTGTGGGAGCATGTCTGACCTCATGAGAATTAGTTTTATGTCGTGGATGCTGTTGACAGACAGTTATCTCTGAGGAGGTGGTGGAAGTCATTCCTGGCCATCTCCACAGTGACCAAATTCCTTTTTACATGCCACTACTTCAAGAACGCAAATCCGCTCACCGTTGGACCTACAGGCAACATCATGTTAGATGGGCTGAAGCTTGACGGTGTCAGTGATTTAATTTTACTCGGTTACACCATCAGTATTCATGTTAGTGGCAGTCAAGAAATCAAAAGACGTATATCACGAAAACCTTCAAGGACGTCTCCGAAGTGCTAAAGAGCAAGGATGTTAGTTGAAAGAGTTAGAGTGTCATCCCAGCAAAGCAGTGGTATTTTCAGTTGCTTCCACGCATCGAATGTTGGACAGTGAATAAGGATAAGAGTGTGGAATATCCCATGGACTGCCAAACAAACATCTGTCTTGAAGGAAGTGGAAGCAGAGTGCTCCGTTGAGGCTTGCATGCTGCTCTTACTTTGGACATATTTTTCAGGAGGAACCAGTCCTTGGAGAGGGATATCATGCTGAGAATGGTGGAGGGTCAGTGAAAGAGAAGAAGACCCTTCCTGAAACGCACTGATACAGTGACTGCTCCAGTGGGCTCCAAGAGGACAGATCCTGAGGATGGCACAGGACAGAGCAGAGTTCAGCTCTTCTGTTCACAGGATCAGTGGCAGTCATAGTCAGCTTGACGTCACCTGACAGCAACTCCACAGGCAGGGAGAGTCCCCATCCACAACATCAAGTGCACAAAGCCTGTTTGGTGAGATCATATTGCCTCTGTGCTGTCACCCACTCTTCTCCCAGTTTCCACACTGACTGTCCCTCAGGCTTGTGCTGATCTGTTGCTGGATCTGCTAATCTCTTGCAGTGGCCACACAGGACTAACAGGTAACGCCCAGGGACTTTAGGGGAGTAACAAGTTACAATTCATTTTGGAAACAGGATACAGTTCTTCAGTAAGGACAGTTTTTTAAGCATGCTGGCAGGCCCTCAGACCTTTAGCCGTGCAGCTCTGGGGCATTTTTAAACAGCTCTCGTAATACTGCCTCTTAGGGCAGCTCCCCTGGTGCTCCAGCGAGCCTGGGTGAAGGCTCTCGGCCGTGGCTCTGTGGGACAGTGGTTCCAGTCCAGCTTTGTCTCACCCGTCGCTGGTTCTGTGTCACTTCACTACTGCTGCTGTCACTTCTCAGTTGATGTGTGAACTGTGCAGGAATCTCGGGTCTCAAAGGGCACAGTCTCTGGTGCTGCTTTATTGAAGGTAGAGAGATTCCCATGTTCTTTTTCCTTTTTTTTTTAAGCTAGGAAAGAGACTTTGTTTAGAAACAATGACTGCATGCAAGTCTCAGTGTGCTGCTTTTATGCTGTTATGTTGGGCCTTCCTCTTGAGATGCCCATTTTCTGAATCTGGGCCAGTTCAGTGTGAGCCTTATAGGATGGCCAAACTAAACTAACCAGTCTCCTCATTGATAGCCTCCATGTCTTATTTACATGTTTACATGTCAAAGCACTGTTTTCTGTGTTTACATTAGTTCCATATAATGCCTCTTGTGGTTAACTTGAAGGAGCCCTTGTGAGGCTCTAGATAAAACATTCAGCCGGTAAACGGAAAGTTGGTGACTCAAATCCACCAGCTGCCCTATGGGAGAACAATGAGGCTGTCCCCTTCGGTAACGATTTATGGGTTCTGTAGAGTGACTCCCGGGTGCTGGCGACGTCATGGCACTGAATGGAGTGCTTGTTGGTTACATGAAGTCCATTCAGATCATCCAGGATAATTACTTCAAGAAAGTGAACTACATTTGCAAAGTACTGCTGTATAAGGGAACATATCTACTGTTTGGGGCTAGTAACTTGAAATTTATCTGAAGAAGCTGCAGTGAGCTTACTGGGGGACTCACTAGTTGGATCCTGAGTGGTGGCAGGATAGTTCAATTCTCAACACCTTCCTGTGTGAGACAAGGGTTTTCAGGTTCTAGATGTGGAAAGCTGGCTCTGTGCAGGACTTTGGTGTTACGAGCGGATTGATTTAGCAAGTGGAAGGGAGTTGGCAGAGAGCAGTGTTTTCATATTCATCCGGTTCCTTTCCAGCAGATAAGACCTCCCTGAGGAGGTGACGTGCACACTGGCAGCTCAGTTTGTGCTTCTCAGGGAGGTGGATCACGGTCATCAGAAGCTTGGGTGGACACTATGCAGCGAGGGTCAGTTGTCTGCTCGCTCTCTGGAGTCTGGAGATGGGTCAGGGTCATGTGATACTTGGGTGAAAGCTGTGCATTTATTTTCTTCGTGCTCTGACAATAAATAATGTCATGTGTTTCCCCTCACAGGCCAAGGCAGTTGTGGCCACCGAGGACCTGAGGGACGGCAGGTGCCCTGTGGATGGGCAGGAGCCAGGGAGTCCATTGAGGTGCATGGCTAGGGGAGGTGTAATGAACACGGACTCCCCCCTCCAGGTGTCGGGGAAGGCACCCCTCAGCAGGGTCGGCATCCGCCGCAGCACCAAGCGAGACCGCAAGTCCATCACCCTGCGTGTGAAGCTGGAGGTGCTGCGCAGGTTTGAAGAGGGTGAGAAGCTGACGCACATCGCCAGGGCGCTGGGATTGGCCACCTCCACCGTGGCCTCCATCCGCGTCAACAAGGAGAAGATCCGGGCCAACTCGCAGGCCGCCACGCCGGCCAGCGCCAGCCAGCTGACCCGCTGCCGTAGCGTGGTGATGGGCCACATGGAGCGCCGGCTGAGTGTGTGGATCGAGGAGCAGAAGCAGCAGCACCGGCCCGTCAGCACGCTGCTCATCCAAGACAAAGCTCGCAGGCTCTTTGTGGAGCTGCAGCAGGAGCAGGGGGACGGGGCCCAGGCCCAGACCTTCGGGGCCAGCAACGGCTGGTTCGCCCGCTTCAAGGCGCGGCACAACGTGCTGCTGACCGACGAGCCCACCGCTGCGGACACCCAGGCCGCTGCCCGCTTCCCCCTGGTGCTGCGAGGCATCCTGGAGGAGGGCCGCTACTCGCCCAAACAGGTCTTCAACGTCGACGAGACAGGCCTGTTCTGGAAGCGGCTGCCAGAGCGCACGCTGCTAGCCCTGGACGGGGCCGCTGGCCTGGGCCCCAGGGTGTCCAAGGACCACCTGACCCTGCTTCTGGGCGGTAATGCGGCGGGCGACTTCAAGCTGAAGCCCCTGCTGGTGTACCCCTCAGAAAACCCGCGTGCCCTCAAGGGCTGCTCCAAGGCCAGCCTTCCGGTAGTCTGGCGCTCCAACCGCAACGACTGGCTGACGCCCAGCATCTTCCAGGAGTGGTTCACCGGCTGCTTTTGCCCTGCGGTGGAGAGCTACTGTGCCCAGCATGACCTTCCTTACCAGGCCCTGCTGCTCCTCGACAGCGCCCCCTGCCACCCCCCTTACCTGGACAGCCTCTCCTCCCATGTGCGCGTGGAGTTCCTGCCCAAGAACACCTCGGCTCTGATCCAGCCCATGAACCAGGGAGTCATCGCGGCCTTCAAGGCCCACTATCTGCGGCGCACGCTCAGCCAGCTGGTGCAGGAGACGGTCGGCCCAGACCGGCCCTCTGCGCAGGAGTTCTGGCGCAGCTACACCGTCATGACTGCCGTGGACAACATTGCCGAGGCCTGGGCGGAGCTGCGGCCAGCCACGATCAATGGTGCCTGGAGGAAACTGTGGCCAGAGTGTGTGCCCCCCGGCGCCCCCGATCCTGACATCCTGCCCCAGCTCCGTCGTAGCATCATGGCACTGGCCAGCCACGTGGGCCTTGGGGACTCGGCCAAGGCTGATGTTGCGTGCCTGCTGCAAGCTCATGGGGAGCCCTCACTCCACAGCGGCCCCCAGGACCCAGACGACAGGCACCCTGGTTGCTCTGGGCCGCTGTGGGAAGAAGATGGCCTGGCTTCCACAAAGCCGGACCCAGAGCTCCTGGAGCCGGGGGAGGGTGCAGGGACTGATGAGGGCGGCATGGCGGGGCTGAGCACCAAGCACCTGGCCCAGGCCCTGGCCCACTTTGCCACTGGCCTGCAGATCTTTGTAGACAATGACCCTAACCGGGAGCGCAGCCTGCGGGTATCTCGGGGAGTCCACAGTGCCCTTGCCCGTCTCCGCATGCTGCACCGACACCGAAGGCGGCAGGCTCAGGTGTCTGTGGCAGAAAGGGATGGGCCCACAGAAGACCTGGGAGTGACCGGGGCCACTGTCCCCTCTGTAGAGTCTGGGTTTGGGACTGACCTCAGATGAGCTCTGTCCAGGGATGGTGTGTTTCTGGAGGTCAGATGCTCCTTCCCCCCCAGAGTGCTCAGTTTGAGGCCTCTCTGCAGTAACCCCCCCCTCCCCCACAGTGCTGCTGGCCTGGAGGAGTAAGAGAATGTCGTGCTTGTTGGTGGGTGAGCTTGAAGGCCCAGGCGTGTCCACTGTGTCAGAGATGGACCCCTGTAGGTGGTGGCTGCCCAGTGCCACCCAGTTCAGTGGCTTTCCTGGTGGCCTCTCCTTTTTTCTGCCATCATATTCTGGTTGACTGGTTCCTCCTGTCCAACACTCACTTGCTAATATCCCATGCTGTCTTTGCCTCATTCTCTACAGTTCTCTTGTCTGGTCAGGGCATCTGGTGCCTTTCTTGTGCCTGAATCTCTGGCCATGTGTTGGCCCTGTCCCCATCCCGCTGTGGCCTTTGACATACCAGGTTCTGTTTCATTCTGGAGATGTGCTCATTTCCAGGCTTCTGTGGTCCCGCTGCCTTGGGTTCTCTCCAGCCTCTGCCGCCGAGCCTTCTCTGAGGGCCTGTCAGGGTCTGGTGCTCTTTGTGAGAGCCTGTCCACTACTGAGGGCTCAGTGGCCACCTCGTTGTTGATTCCGAGCTTCCCACCTTTCTTCTCTGAGCTGTAGACCCACGCTTGTCACCTCCATATATTGTGGTTCGGTCATGTAGACTAACAGGCACACCTAAGCGTACACCTCATCATACGGAAGTGCCGTGGCCACCAAAGCACACATACTCTACAGGGGAAGATGTCCGTCCTCCTGCCCAAGGTGAGCTGTAGATGACAGGGCAGAGCCCTCAAGCCTCATGACCTTCCAGCATGGGCACCTGTGCATGTGTGTGTCTGTGAGAAATAAAGGTAGCAGAATGGCTTTCTGGCACCCTGTTTTGGCTAATGATTGTGTTGATGGGAACTGCTGGGCACTAACCTCAGCAGTTGGGCCTGAGAGGAGACAGCTGAGGGGTCAGTCTCCCGGCGGTCAGATGAAGCCCCTTCGTGCTCCTCCAGGAGGAGTGAAGAAGTGGTGGAGCTTTTCTTCAGATCCTGGTGACTGCGTGACGTTATTGCACACGTCAGGAGCACCCCTCACTGTGCTCGGTGTTGGAGAGAGTTGAGTAGGTGAGATTGGTTGCATGCTTCATTCGATGAGTCTGTCATGGGGTTCAGGAACCAGTGGGTAAGCCTTTTTGTGAGGTAGCTTCCTGAGCTTTGGAATATTGCTGGCAGCCAGAAAACTGGTCATTTAAAAATGCCGCGTGTCAGTCAGAGAGGGGTTTTCCGGAGTCAGCAGCCTGGGTAGAGGGAGGAGTGGACCTGGAGTGGCCCACGTTACAGTAGTCGGCCGTTGAGTCAGTTCAGACTGCTTTCGACCCTGGGCATAAGAAAACAAAATACTCTTGATCTTCGATACATCTGAGGTATCTGTTGCAGCTACTGAGTCCAATTTGGGGGCCAGATTTGAGGATTTGGGGAGACCAGCGATGAGCCAAGAACTCTAGTCAGGAATAGGACAAGGTGGCAGCTCAACCAGAAGTGGCTGGCCTTGAGGTCCTGCCGCGGTGTGGACGTGAGAACCTGGGCTCAGTGCCGAGTGGTGCACTGGACCTCCTCTGCCAGCGCCTTCTCACTGGTACCTGCAGCGCTGCACTCCCTGAGGGGTTTTTTGGGTGGGGAGGTGCCTTGAGTCGAGGAAGATGCAGCAGACCCACCCTCTGAACCACAGATCTGAACCCTGGCCTGTCCTGTGCCAGGCTCAGTCCGACACCCTGGAGCCCAATGCTGCAATCGCTGTGTTAGTCCAGCTGGTTGAGGGCCTCTCCATTGCACACGCTCCACCTTTCCAAGTGTGATGTCCCTTCCCAAGGAATAGCCTCTCTGTGGGAGAAGGAAAGGTGGGCAGTCTGTGGAACTTGCAGCCTCTGAAAACCCACTAGAGGGTCAGCTGTGGGTCAATTTTGACTTGATGGTACATGACAGCAACCACAAACAACATGCCCGAAGTATGTGAGGCAGAGCTTTGGTATCTGTGCCTCTAGGGAGCACTCTGGCTGCACTTTCTCCAAGACACATCGTTTACCACTGGGCTGCCAAACAAAAGGTTGCTTGGGAGGTGGAACCCACCCATGTCTCCAAGAGAGCTACAGTTCTCTGCTTCCATAAAACCTCGGCAACCCTGTGGGGTTGCACAGGAGATTGAATCCACTTGATGGCAGGGGGAAGGAAAGGTGGCCTCTTCTGGGACCCTAGGAACTATGTCTGCAACCCTACCTTTGTGGTCTCAGACACCCAGAGGACTATATTTCTCAGAGGACCCTGCAGAGACCGGAAGTCCTCTGCTGCTGGTCACCTAGGCCAATGCGCAGCTATCCATCACCATGGAGACACCCCATCTCTCGCCGCCGCCCTAACATTGCGGGGGGGTGGGACGTGGAACATCAGCTGGGGTCAGAAGAGGGCTACCTATTTACACCTCCATTGGTTCTGGCTCATTGCATCCTCGTGGTGGTGTGCTGGTTTCCTGTCCCTTCTAGACCGGTCACTGGTGTCCATGTCCACTCCTTGTACTTTTCCATCCTCAAACCCCCAACTCCAAGCCTCTTGCCCTCAGTTGACCCAGTCTCTTGGTGATTCTGTGGAGCAGAGCTGACCTTTAACCTTAGGTTTAGCCAGTCCTCACCTCCGGACAGTGGCCTCGTTCTACGAAGTTGGACACAGGACCTGCTTGCACTGGCTGTGCTGGCCCTTTTGTTCTGTGGGCATGTGGGGTGAAAGTCCAGATCTTGACCTTAATTGGAGTTCTGGTGAGATCTGAGCTGGCCATATGGTTGATGCTGTCCCCTTTGCCTGGATTGATTCTCCACAACTTTCTCATCAGGGGTCCTTGCCAGAGCAGATCCTGCATCGTGAAGAGGCTGTCCTGGGCTTGGCACCTGTGATCAACCCCATTATAAACGTGTATCGACATTTTAAAAAGAAAAATAAAACTAAGTTGCAGCTTGAAAACTTGCAGAGATTTCGAAAGGACAAAGTGAGTGGTGGTCTGCATTGTCTTTCTGCAGATTTATGAGGCAGGTGTATCTTTTTTTGAGCTCCTTTCTATATGTACACAGCAATGTAACAACAGTGGCTTGTAGACACACGTCAATGCACAGTGGTGCTTTGTTGGGACACATTAGATGTGGTCACCGTTGTGTAGGACTGCATAGCTGATGGCTTTTCTGTTCACTGATCTGTACTTCTCTCTGGCAGTTCAGTTCCAGGCTTAAATGGTGGGTTTTTAATGTCATTGGGGTTTTTTCCCTCTAATGTTGAATTAATTATTTTTTACTGTTGCACATTTTCTTCCTCTTTCCCCTCCCGCAACCCTCCCTGCTATGTACCCCTTGTTCAATATTGTCGTCATACCTGTAACCCATAATTCTGTATTCTTTTGGACAGTCCTTGCCTTATCTGCTATAATACAGTGTTCATTATCTGTCTACTCTTCCCATCCTCTCCCCAAGTCTCTGTATCTGTCTCATAATAGTGGTGTTATGCATTTTTGTCCTTTTATATTCCAATCACATTATAATTTTGTCTTTGAAAAGATGATAACTTTTCAGAATCTTGACGCCATGTAATTCCAAGTTTTTTTCCTCATTCCATTGACATTTAAATGAGTAAGGAGATGAAAATCTTCACTAACTTTAACATTTCCTATTAATAATTGATCTGTTTTATCACTTAATTGTGACATTGGTCCTGGAGGCCAGAAGGAGCTCGAATATGAGTGATATATATAGGAGATTCTCACTGATTAATTAAAACTTGTAACATAGTAAATAACATACTAATATTAGTATCTTGAGAAGGAATGTATACTGTTTCTATTTTTCTAACAGTAAACTCACCATGTTGGAATTAGTAACTATGTTCAAAGGAAAGTTTTTATCTTGCAGTAACATAATAATAGTAATAGGTATAATGCAGCCTGTTGAACAGAAGTCAAGTTAGTTTTAAGTACTTTATTATCTTTACCATTAGAATAGCCTGCATAAACCATCTTATTTGCATCTGTATAATCAAAGGTGAAGTTTTTACTTTAGAATCCAATTAGTCATTTTACCTGATTTTATTACAAACTCTGGATAGTACCAAGGACTAGTGGTTTAATATGACCTGCTAAATATTATTCTTGAAATAATTGTTCCAAAACCTCTAATTTCTCTCTAATTAGGTGCAGCCTTTGCTTAATATATGGTAACAATAATAATTGTTTCTTTGACCTTTTAATAAATTCTGAGTCTGTTTAGTAGATACCATTATACTTATTTCTCCTTCATAATCAGAATAATTCCAAGGCGAACCAAAATATCCTTACTGGCCAAAAATTGATAGGAAATTTTTTTTTAGTTAAACAATGACTTTATGGCTCAAGTACATAAAGACAAATTTATGCAACCAGGTCAGAGCCTGTGGATGATTCATATTTCCAACTTGGGGAAAGGACTCTCTTTGTCTCATAGTATTGAGCCAGTCAGTGGATTTGGGCTCTCGAACAGGATGAGACAGAATTTAGCATCCTTGTCCTTTTTGTTCCTTTCAAGATGCTTTCGAACAGCAACAACTTTCTTAATTAAATGGTGGAGATTCCCAGGAAGAACAGGAGCAAGTCCTTTGGACTTCAGGATTCTCAAGATTTTACTGCCTGCCACAAAATGTACTTGTGCAATGCCATGTGAATCTCTGAGGATCACACGGATCTGATAAGGAGTCAGCCCCTTCTGGGCTGGTTTGTAGATCTGCTCCTTCACGTCGCCAGGCGTCAACTTCAGCCAAGTGGGGACTCTGCAGCTACAGGGCGGAGCCAACTGGGGCGAGCCTTTCCAGGTAGCCTGCTTGCCATCCATGATGGCAACAGTCAGGCAAAAGGCTGTTCTCTTGTGATGTGCTTTTCGTAAATCTTGCATAACATTTTGCCAAGTTTTTAAATTTAACTGT